AAAATGTTTGTGTCGTAAACATACGAAACGCGCATCTGGGATTATTATTGCCGCTTTCGCATTTGATCTTCAGTCCTCCGGTGGAGGAGAATCGCGGTAAGTCGAAATTTGGGTTTCTCACTTGACCGATCGTTAAATCGCGAACAGTGAAAGTTTTCTCTCCTCTGTTTTTTTTTCATTCGTTTCGTTTTCTTCATCATCATCTTTCGCATTATTCATTATTGTTTCTCTTTAAAACATTACTTCTTTTCTTTTTATTCGGTTGCTTGACTATTATTATTATCAAAGTGTGCGATGCGCCTTCTTCGCGTCCGCTGGAATTCCGCGCACCGGTAATTATATAATTTTAACGGGCAATTTGTGCTCATGCAATATCACTCGCATTGCCGGGCATTAATAATAATAATAATAATTGTTACTCGCAAGCAGCTCGAAGAATAATTATGGATAAGAAGAGGCGCGATTCCATTTCTGGTTTCCCATTCGGATTTTAATAAGAAAATTACGTTTTCAAATGCGACGGATCAAAAGAATTTCCACTAATTGGACTCGAGGATTTCTGTTATTTCCATCTAGCGCTCCAATTAATCTTGCATTATTGATACCAACAAATTAACAGAGCAATTTGTGGATTAATGAGATTTTCTTGTCGATACATTCGATGCGATTAATTACAGTTACGTACTAATATTTATCGAGTGCACTTTATAATGAAATTTATAGAAATGCATCACTGTTAATTATACAAAATCAGTTTTATTTTACGGATAATTTATGCCAATAAATAAAATGCGCAATAACTAGAAGATTTAATGAGATTTTCTTTTCAATATTAATGTCATTAATTACAGTTACGTACTAATTATTTATAAAGCTGAACTTATCAATTAATAATTAGAAAATAAGATATGAATTACATTAATTATACAAAAAAAATATCTGTTATTTATTTAACTTACGAAATAATTTCTATTTTTTTTTAATTCAATATAATTCATATTATTTTATTATTATTGATACTTTCAAACAACAAACAACATGACAAAAACTATTTGGAAAGTTAATGAGATTTCCTTGTCTATATTAATGTCAAAAGTTGTCATATGTCAAAAAAAAACTTGTTTTGCCGTTACGTCTATACATGAGTTATGTAAGATTGAGATTTTTTTTTCAAATGATAATTATGTAAATCTTCATTTACTTATAATTAATAATTGAAAACAAAAAATGGAAAGTTAAGTTAATATTTAAAAGTTCATTCCTAATTATTTGTATTAATCTTCTTTATTTTATCAATGCAAGAAAACTTACTTTATTTATTGTTAAATAAAGACAAATCTGTTATGTAAATTAATGAAGTCAATGTGACTAATTAATAAATTATTTGATTATTCATGGAATTTAGTTAAATTTAACAATGTTAGAAAATTTATAAATCTACTGATTTGAATCGTTTCTGTCGTCGAGGTGAGAAGCTGTCGTCCAATAAGTTAACAAGATTGAGATTAGTATGAGAAATTTAATCTTCATTCAATTTCTACCTTAAAATATACGAAACAGAAAACAAAAACAAAAATTGTAAAGAAAGTGCTTTGGAATGTGTCTGCACGATGAAAGATAACCTGTGTACTTTGCAAATATAATCTTCTTTGGTAAACAACCACAGGGAAAATGTCCCAACTAAAGTTGAAGTGAAGAGAGAAACTTGGAAGATTTCGTAAACGTAAATGTAGTCGCTGTAATTCATACATATATTTACATGTTGTTTACATAATAAGTACAGCTTTTATTTGAAATTCATCGCATCGCGTTCATCGTACAAACAGACTCGACATTCCTGAAAACATAACCAAATAAACATCTGAAAGTAATTGTAAATATAATTAACACGTAATGGGACTTAATTTTTAATTGATTGCATGTAAAATGTGTTGCATAATTTTTAAAT